AAAGCAACAACGTCATGGGAGATGTCTACCTCACACAGCATTACCTGGCGAACTCACACAGCATGTCCGCACTTACGGCTTAGACAAGCTCACAAAGCATGCTCGTCTTTACAAAATCATACCGTAGTACATCCTCATTGACATACAAGTTCAAAACACATATTATAAAAATATCTCACTTTTCACGCATATATAACGTATCAAAAATCTCGAGAAGCTTCAAACAACTTGTGGATAATAAGAAATAAGGCATGCAATCATTTTAAAAATAAATCACGTGAAACTCACAATACATGGCGTAGCCCAAACCGATCTTTGAAGTAGCTAGCGTCTCCCCGATTGGTGCCAAACTAACTACGATGTAGAGCACCATCAACTCTCATTGCAGCGTCCACCGTTGCATTTTCTCACAATAGTTCTCCTTCTTAACCCCAAACTACACATAAAGCTACAAACTCCCAAAAACGCATCAAACTTGTTGTGCTTCACCAAATCATCCTCATCTTTCACCTCTCTTATACGAGTTTCCTTTCCCGAGAATTTGTCATCTCTATGCTTGAAGACCTCCCCATATATATATATATATACTAAGTCATCGGCGGTTTCACGGAATATGAAACGATAAGCCATAATAAATGGTCGTAGGTTTCATGACCATTGAGTTTCCCGTCATTAAATTGCATTCAATTTATTTATTTATTATTATTATTTTTTTTTTTTTTGGGTTATTACAGTACTTTATGTATGAATCACTTTTATTTTCAGTTAACTTCAATTTTGTTTTTTACGAAACACTTACAATATAATTATACGATTATTTATTTTGGAAAGAGACGTTTATATTCATAAAACCACATAAATTATTGTTTTTGTTTTTGTTTTTTTGAAACGCTGGAAGTTTGATAAGCCAGTCTGTGATTCGTTAAATTGTTGGATGGACCCACACCCAATGGCAAATCACATCAACGCTGGCCCCCATCGTCACATGCGCCTGCGTCTCACCCAATCATCGCCTCACTTTGCGTCACTAACCTTGTATCCTTCCGAATATAGCATACTTTTAAATTTTGATAATTCTCCTTTTTTTTTAATTTAAAGATCTCCTTATTTTTTATTTTCTTAGACAATAGTTTTATAAATATTTTCTAAAATAACATATTTATTGAAGATGCTCTGAACATTTTGTAACATAAAATGACAAAGGCTTTTAGAATTAACTTCGAAACTTTATACTGTTATTGGAAGATAACTTAAACATTAACAATTTTCTATCTCATTTTAGTTCATAGTTACAAGAAGAAATCAGATATAATGGTTCTGATAATAAAAATTTATCTGACTTCTTAAAGTCATTCTAAGTTTCGAGATTATCTTAAAGGGTTCTACAATCCGTATTAAAAGGCTAGACTTTTTTTTTATTAACCTGGATATCCAACCCGTTATGCGAGCCGACTAATCTCAAAACGACCACATGCTTTGCAGATAGACCGGAGTCACCGCATTTGAACCTCCGTAGACACAAGAGGATTTTTATTCCTCATTTGATTTGAATCTGGGACCTCCTGAAACCGTATTAAAAGGCTTGACTTTTATGCAATTGTGTCTAATCAATATAATTTACTTCTTCATCGATCCAAATCCCACAAAATGTCAAAATTTGTATTTTATTTGGAAGTATGTCTTAGAAGTCCCACACTTGTCCGTAACACGAAAGTCTCGTAACTATCATAATCAATCATTCATCGATCAAAATATCATTTTTCATAATTATATGAGTCAAATAATTATATAATTAGTATTTTTATTAATTATTTGACATCGGGTTATCACAATCATCAACAATTAACATCATGACGTTAATTATTCATTGATCAAAATATCAATTTTCATAATTTATGAGTCGAATAAGATCTACGATTTGTAATTTTAACCAAATGCAACCACGATAATCACTGTATGTTAATCATAACATTAATTAATCAAAATAGTAAAGCATATTTTATGTTAATTATATCATGAAATATTAATCCAATTGTGAAAATACAAATCACGACTAAAAATGTAATTTTAGAAACCTGAATCATTAATTTTTGTGCTAAAATAATATGCCAAAAGTGTACGGACCAAATTGTAATTTGAATTTTTTAAATAATAGAAATCTAGTAAAAATGCATTTTTTTTATAAAAAAACTGAGGTTGCTTTGCAAATTGCAATTAATGGAAATGGAAACTAGGAACAGGTCTTGGGCTGTGGATCACCTAGATTGGGCCTGAAATGGCTTACACAGCCCAGAAGAAGCCCAATAGCATGGCCTGGCAACCCAATTGAAATGCTTCATGGGCCCAGTTTAGCAACCACCCAAAATACGTGGGCTTTGATGAGCCATTACAAAACACATGTTATGTTATTTTTGAGGATCGAAAATAATGATTAATGATGGTTGTTTTTGTCCAAATGTGTTCGTTCGTTTATATTCATTCATTTACATTCGTTTATCATCTTAACGAACAAACATAAACGAATACAAACACATATATTTTTCTTAACAAACGAACATGGCCACAAAAAATTTTGTTTGTTTACTGTTATTGTTCGTTCAGTTCATTTTCAGCCCATCCGCTTAGTCGCCCATTAGGCCAGGACTCACCCGGAAGGTTGACACTCTCTTTTTGACCTAGTTTGTATATAGTACTACCAAGTACCAAATAACCATTTAGGGTCGATTTTAATTGGTTTTTAATACATTATATGTTGATCCTTTACGGGATTACACATGCATGTATGTACGTATATTTACTATTATTTTGTATAAATTTAGTGGTTAAATCGAACCATGTTGAACTAATTTTGCATTTTAAGGCTAGTTTTTTTTGGCTATTATACTCTCTTTGTAACAGATAGAAATTTGTTATCCTAAATTCTCATGTCCCATCTTTGTCTATCAACTAATTTTGAACGATTTAAGTTGTTGATATTATCATTTAGCCTCTGATTTTTAGTAATTTTTTCATTTGGTTAAAAGTGATTTTTATTTTTGGTCCCTTGTTTATGGTTGTTTTTTGGTTTTCGTCCCTGAAATCCATAAAATACACTTTTGGTCTCTTTTTGAGGCGATGGTGGATTTGCATAAGAAGTGAGGTTATGCAAAAGAAGATGAGAGGGTGTTGCTGGAGAAACAGGGCGGGGTTTCATCAAAAAAACAAAGAAGGGATGATCTGCTATTGCTAGAGAAACAAGGAGAAAAGGTGTGGTATCATCGAAGAAACATAAAGGGTTTAGGGTTTGCCGGCAAAAGGAAGTCGAGGGGTGGGGGAGGAACGGTTTCATGGAAGGTATATATTTTCATTTATTTATTATTACTTAATAATAAAAATATTAATATAGCTTTAAATTTTTATTAAAATAAATTAATATTAGGCTAAAAGACGAAAATACCTCTCACGTAAGAGGGGCATGACCGACTTAACAGATCCAATTCTAGTGATGTTAGGAGCAGGGACTAAATTGGGCTTTAAAATAAGAAAAAGGACGAAAAGTACACTTTACGAGTTGTAGGGACGAAAATCAAAAATCAGTCGTAGACGATGGATCAGAGACACGATACGTTTTATACTTGATTTAAAAAGAAATATCCCATTTATATTTTATAAAGTTATTAAAAGGCAATACATAAATAGAGTTTGTTTCAAATGCAACTCATCACATTTGTACAACCAATACAACCCAATAAATTGAAATATATATATGAAAATAATGAGAGTTCATTTATTATGATTTAAATATTTATGAAAGATGAATAAAATTCATTAATTATTATCAATACTTTATATTAAGAAACAATCAAAACTTCTATGAAATTACAAATTTATCAAATTAAATAGACGATTGAGATTTAATTGTATTGATTGTACAAATGTAAATGATTGTATAATAACTCATCTCTACATAAATAAATAAATAATTAGTAGATATAATAAACTTTTGTTAGCTTTTAAAGGGAAAAAGAAGTCACAGAATAATTGTAGAAAAGTAAATATTGATGCAAGAGAAGAGAGTGGGGTTGCTCAAACCCAATAATGGCTTTTGCATTCAAGACTGTACTTGCTCTAATTAAAACCAATTTTATTATTTCCTGCAATTTTCTATCTTTTTTTTTAATTTACTTACCAAAAGTAAAATTCATTCATATTAATATCAATCTTTGACCAAATCCAAATCCAAATGGGTTGAGATAAAGCTATGCATTGAAAACAGTGTGGTTGAAACAATCTTCAATTTCAAAGTAATCAAGAGTTGGTATGTGTTTTAATCACCATCGACAGATCAGTGACCAAAAGACCATGTTGGAGTGATGCTTAATGGTGAGAATCAATTTTATGACCATCTAGTGATGGCCAAACCGGCCCAGCCCGTAACCGTTGGAGGACCGGAACCGAGACCGGTTGAGGGACCGTCGGTTATGAACCGGTTGCGATATTTGTCGTTTTTTATGCCCGAGACCGACCGGAACCGGGGCCGGTTATGGGCCCGGCCTGTCCCGGCCCTGAGGTTTCCCTAATTGATTTAATGATGAAAGAGAGAGAAAGTGAGACTTAAGAGGATTAAATGAGGTTAAAAGCCCTAAAATCCTGACTTAGAGGCTGTTTACCAAATTTTATATTAAGTCCTGTATGGATAAATTTGTCTGTCTGGATAAATTTGTCTGTCTGGATAAATTTGGGTTGTTGTTTACTTTTCTATCTGAATCAACAGTCTGAATAACAGAAATGACCAATTTACCCCCGAGGATTAACTATGGGCTGTTTAGTATACTGTTGTTCATTTTTTAAGGCAAATGATATTTCTGAAAAATAAAATATTTAAATAATAAAACATAAATTCATAAATCCAAGTTCAAACACAAAGTAGCCAAGTTCAAATACAAGTTCAAACACAAAAATCCAAGTTCAAACACAAAGTAGCCAAGTTCAAATACAAGTTCGAACACAAAAATCCAAGTTCAAACATTATTGACCAAACTATTTGCAATTTCATCTCTCAAAGTAACCATATATTGAGTGCTATTAGCACCCCATTGTGAAATGTCCAATTCTTCTTCTCCATTTCCTTCGACTTCTTCTTCGTTGTTAAATATATTATCCTCATTGCACTCCATAAACAACTGGTCTTGAATATTATATTTTCTGATGAAATTATGTATCGCAAAGCAAGCAATTACCACATTTCTTTGTGTTGTAAATGGAAAGGGAGCCATCTGCTTTAAGATCGGAAATCTCGCTTTCAAGACACCGTAAGCACGTTCAATAACATTTCTGAGTTGAGCATGTGCATGATTAAACCTTTCTTCTTTAGTCAAAGCGCGTCGACGTCGAAAATCTGCCAACCAATACCTTGTGTTACGATATGGAGCCAAAAATCCACGAGCATTGGCGTACGCADCATCACAAAGATAATATTTATCTGAAAACCACCCACATCAATCATATAATATAGAAAAAAAAAAAAAAATTGAGAATGGTTTATACCTTTGTGGTAGAAAGGGAAAACCGGATTTTAGGTTAAAAGCAACTTCCCTAAGTATTCTAGAATCATGCGCTATATCTTTCCATTCAGCCCAAACAAAAGTGAATATCATGTTGAATATACTACCAAGAATGTTATACAAACAAGCTGTTGTTATACCAAGAATATTATACAAACCCAGAAATAAGACAAAGAATGCTGCTGCTGTTATACAAACAAGAATGTTGCTGCTGTTATACCAAGAATGTTATACAAATCCAGCTAATGTAAGAATGTGCAAATTATGTGCAGCTAATGTTGGACCTGAAATCGAGCAGCAAATATTAACAACAATGGAGGGCCTGTCGAGCCAGAAGTATCGAGCATATACTACCAAAAACGAGCAGCAAATATTGACAACAATGGAGGGCCTGTCGAGCAGAAATATC